ATTTAAAAGAGCCTTGTGTACTCCAGGAGCTGCCCCTTCTCGGGGCTTTCATTTCTGAGGCTTTCCTGATGGATGGCCTCAGCCTTTGACTCCCTCATTTTTACTGTCCAACCTGCCGAGTGCTACTTCCTGGCACAACTTGTAAATTCTATTTTTTCATATTTAGCGGAGGCTTAAGGCTTCTGCCACAGAGAAGTGGGGTGGCCGGATATGCTGTAAGTGTAAAATAACACCAGATTTGGAAGCCTTGAGTCTGTGATTGTGTTTTAAATATATTTACCTGTCCTTTGATTGCTCTCACCAACTCTTGCTCAGGGTCACAGGGGTGCTGCTGCAGGTGGGCCATGCTGGGAGCCCCAGCAGCTTCATCACCGCCTTCCTGCCCATCCCTCCCCTCTCAGACTTTCAGTCCCTCCAGATCTGGTCCAATCTTTCCGTGGTAAAGACGGGAAAACCAAGCATCTGAGAAGAGAAGGGACTTGCCCAGGGTTCCAAGAACCCTAGACCAGGACCCAGGGGTGCCCGTTCCCCGCTCCTGGGTGACACGGCTGGGCCAGGCACAGGGCGGGGCACTGTGAACACAAAGACACATAGAACATGGATCCTCTCCTGAGGGACCTCAGAGCCTGACGACAGCGTGGCTCGGGGAGAGAAGCTAGAGACTCCAGCAGCGACAGCCTCATAATAATGGCTAAGATCTGTGAAGCCGATTGACTGCACCAGTCAACCCCAGGCTACAGCCTCACCTGCTTGCTGCCCCATCATCCTCACGACACCCTACAGGTGTGAGTACGGTTAGCCTCTCACTACGCAGACCAAGAAAACCAGTCCATGGATTTTCTACTTTTTATTTGAGCCACAGAATCCTTTCTTCAAGTGAAATTTTATATGGAACCCAAATAAATACATCGGGTAAAACCGGGAGTGAGTCCCCCTCACTTATCCCTAACCCTTTTCGGGGGCCTGGAGGCAGTTTTTCAGAGCCTGAGATCTCCTGTTGGCATAGTTTAAAAACCAGCCGGAGAGTCAATGCTTTCATTTTTCAGAGGAGCAAATAGAGGCCCAGAGGAGGGAAGGAGCTTAGCAAGCGTCACCCAGGGAATCACTGTCACAATTAGCACTCCAACCACAAGTCCTATGAAGTACAGGCCTGTGCTCCATCCCTGACACCTCTTCTCTCAGGAAACGGAGGCCTTTTATTAGCAGCTATAAAATACAATCTCTTCCAAGCCGTATTTTAAGACCGAGCTTGCAGTGGGCTCTCTGAACACACTGTTTTCGCCTCCTTCCCACCCTGTCTCTTCCCTACCTCCAGTTCTCCCATTTCCTCAACCACAGGAGGAGAATCCTGCTTCGTAGCAACCGTCCTTGTGAGCCAAGTCGATGAGTGTGGCTTGAAACTGACACCTTCATAGTTTACCTTAGAGTTTTTGGTTCTTCTCAGTTTATTTCATGTTGTGCCTCATTGCTCCATAATATTCACAGGACTCTTGACATTAGAAAGGGCTTTTTAAATCCTGTGAAATAGGATTTTAGAAATCAACAGCACCTTGGGGTGTGTAAGTGGTGCATTAACTTTCCTGGATGCAGTAAGAGGAGACTTCTTTAGGAAATTTCATGATTTGTACCCCTCAGGGTGGCATCTCTAGGGGAGACCGAATGCCCCACCACATATCCCTCCTTCAGCAGGCCTCATAGTTGTCACCTCCTTTGCTTTCTGGCTCTTTTCCCAGCCCCTTTTCCTCAAGCTGGCTTTGATAAAGGATTTCTTTCTCCCCTGCTCCCTCAGCCTGGCTGGTCCATTCTCCAGGGTCTGTCCATGACTCTTTTTCTAAGGCTTTTACTATAAAGTATCTAGAAAATGAGGCAGCTGGAAGAGGTAACAAGTATGAGAAGCTCACAGGGTTCCCAACCTATTTGATGCTCCCCAGAAGTGTGTCCCAGTTGGTCCTGTCCCTGTGTCCCTTCTTGTGTGGTTCTGATGTGACCCAGAGGTGAGGCAAAAAGTGTGTTTTCCAAACTTGGTTTTGTGAGATTCCATTTCTGGGTGCAGTTTCTCAGACACGTGCTTTTATGATGAAAAAAAAAAAAAAAAAAAGACTGAGGGAATTCTGCTTGCAACCTATTCCTCTTGGAGACTCCATTGTATACCCACATACCAACATTTTTGAGAAGTCCTGCAGTCCAGAGTCCTAGGGAACTTCATATAACCCAAAACCCGCTTGAGCACCAAAAGCTTGTGTTTGCAGCCCCTCTAAGAGATGCTAGTTTTAAGGCAGTTCTGGACATCTCTGTGAGTTGGTTCTGGAAGACTCCAAGCCCTTCATTAGAGTCCCTCTTAGCCCCAGCACAGAGATCATGGATCCTCTCCCCGTCCTGGCTTCACTTAGGAAAAGCCAAATTAGGCTGCTTTCTGATGGCCTTCAGGAAGGCTTTTTCATCGATACCAGAGCACTGTCAGCTGGTTGTGCTTTCTTTGGAAGTAATAGAAATGGATCAAGTGGCGGGGGGTCATTTATGGTCTGAGCATTGCATTCTTGGGGCCTGGTCAAAGGAGGACGTTAGGCCAAGCTGAGCCATTCTTAGAGAAAAGGATGGCACTGGGGTTTCTGTATTTGGGAAGCAAGTCCTTCTTATCAAGCCAGCTGTCGTATACTTGGACTTCTCCTGCAAATAGGCCCACACATGCACAGGCTTACACTGATAAAATGTGCTCTCTGCTTTCTGAAACAGAGACTTTTTCTGTTAGCTTAGTGAACTTTGGTTTTCATTATTTTAGATGACTTTAATTATTTTTAATTAACAACTAATCCCAGCTTGTGGATCGATTGGTTGATTGTCCTTTCCCAGTTTTCATTTTTCTCTACTCTAGAAAATTCCATCATGATTTCACAGATAAGCCATGGGTGGGTTGGCTGGTTGGCTTGCTTGGAGGTCTACATACATACATTGCTGTGGAAAATGTCATATCTATTACATAAGTTTGCCTGGGCTGCTGTGACAAAATTCCAGCACTGCGTGGTTTAAATAACAGAAATGTACTGTCACACAGTGTTGGAGGCTAGAAGCCTGAGATCGAGGTGTTGGCAGGGTGGGTTCCTTCTGGGGCTGGCTTCTGGTGGCTTGCTGGCAATCTTTGGCATTCCTTGGCTTGTAGTAGCATCACCCCAATCTCTGCCTTCATTGTCACATGGTGTTCTCTTAGTCGCTGTGTCTGTGTCCAAATTTCCCCCGTTTATAAGGATCCCAGGTAAAATATTGGATTAGGGGCCCACTCTATCCAGTAAGACCGTGTCTAAACTTAACTACTTACATCTGCAATGACCCTATTTCCAGGTAAGGTCACATTCTAACTTGCAATGTGATACTAGGTTACTGAGATACTGGGGGTTAGAAATTCAACATATGAACTTTTATTTTTATTTTATTTATTTATTTACTTTTTTGAGACTGGATCTCACTCTGTCACCCAGGCTGGAGTGCAGTGGTGGGAACGTGGCTCACTGCAGCCTTGACCTCCTGGGCTCAAGCGATCCTCCCACCTCAGCCTTCTGAGTATCTGGGACTATAGGTGCCTCATGACCATGCCCAGCTAATTTTTGTATTTTTTGTAGAGACGGGGTCTCACTTTGTTGCCCAGGCTGGTCTCAAACTTCTGGGCTTAAGCAATCCTCTTACCTCAGCCTCCCAAATTGCTAAGATTATAGGCACGAGCCACCGCACCCAGCCTTATATATGAGTTTTTAGGAGACACAATACAACTCATCACACTGATTCTATGCACGGTACTACATTTAGCTAAGCTGGAGGACAATAGGGCTCGAGGTCCTGCTGTCCCTTCTAGCTCAGGGGAGGTGGTGTGGTGGAGTAGAGAGCACCCTCGGACTGATGTCAGGGGTCCTGAGTCAAGCCCTAGGCCATCCCTCAGTTTTTTCACTAATAAAAATATTTTAATGAAAAGACCTATTAGTATCCAGCAAGATCTTCAAGGTATAAAAAAGGGGGGAAAAAAAAAAAGACGAACCTCCAGGATGTGTGGAGAGGCTCAGATGAGTTAACAGGTCTGAAAATGTCATGGTTATGGGATGTAGCAGAGACAGGGTCCAAACACAGGCGTTAGGTGTCATCTGTGAAACAGGAAATGAACGGTAGGCTTCTCCAGCAAGAGAGAGCCGTCTGGGAAGCAGCAGAGGTGAACCCTGGTTCCCCGGGTCCTGATGGCAAACCAATTCTTCCCTCTGAACTGGCTCCCTCTAGGGAGAAATGGGGGCCCTGGACTAGGCAGCCCCCTGGCCATGCCACTGGGTGACCCCGCAGAGAAGGTCTGCAGCCAGCAGACCTGAGTTTAAATGTGGAGCTGCTGCTTCCTAGTAGTGTCATTTGGGTAAGTCACTTAACCTCACTAAGTCCTTGTCTATGAAATGGGGATAATAGTAAATACCTACCTCATAGGTGAAATGAGAAAGTCCTTGTGAAGTACTTAACACGCAGCTTGACATAAAGTAGTAAAAGTTAGCTATTTCTATAAACTACCTTGAGATGGTGTAGGTGACGGGCCTGCATGCAGTAGGTGCTCAATTAACCATCGATACTCCCCTGTCCCTTTTAAACTCAGTTTTGGCAGAGTTTCCAGCATTCATGATTCCCTCTGGGGTGTAGGGTGAAGGGTGAAGAGTTATACAGAAAAGTATTTGAACTCCTTGAAGAATAACATTGTTTTCAGGCACTCATAAGCCATTTATAATTACCCATTTACTTGTAATTAATGTCCATGCCAATTATAACCAATTACAATTCATTAACTTACATGCTCTCAGGACTTTATCTTGCACAGTTTTATTAGAGAATTAGCCAAACTTAGTGTAGTATTCCACCATAGTCATGATTATCCTGGTGATTCGTAAAATGTACCCAGGCCACCATGTGAATGATGAGCCTCCATTTGCTCTGAGAGAGCAAATTTGAGATGGGTCTTTCTAAGATTCTTGTCTTTCTGGTAGGTATTAATCAGCACAGAAACTCAGGAGACACAGACAAGTTCTTCCACAATGTCGTACAGACGAGAGCTAGAGAAATACCGTGACCTGGATGAAGATGAAATCCTTGGAGCCCTCACAGAGGAAGAGCTCAGGACTCTGGAAAATGAGCTGGATGAGCTGGACCCTGATGTGAGTAGGTGCTAAAGGGGAGCACACTGTCATCAGTGAGGGGACCTGGGGAGGGACAGGTGGATGCTTCCTAAAGCCACCACTTCCTTTTTCCTTCCATGGCAATGACGTTAGAATAACTTTGCCTTTGCAGATTTTTCTTTTAATGTGTTGTGTTAGAGTTCTCCAGAGAAAGAGAACCAATAGGGGGTGTGTGTGTGTGTGTGTGTAGAGACAGAGAGAGAAGGGGAGAGAGAGAGAGATTTATTATAAGGCGTTAGCTCACAAGGCTGTAGAGACCGGCAAGATCTGCAGTTGCTAAGGTGGAGACCCAGGAGAGCCGATGGTATAGTTCCAATACAAATACAAATAACCAGCAGGCCAAAGACCCAGGAAGAGTTGGGTCTGGGAAAAGATGTTTTAGTTTGAATCCAAAGGTAGAAAAAAGCCAGTGTTCCAGCTCAAGGCAGTCAGGCAGGAGGAAATCCCCGCCTACTTGGAGGAGGGTCAGCTTTTTTTCCCTATTCAGGTCTTCAACTGATTGGATGCCCCCCCGCCGCCATATCAGGGGGAACAATCTGTGTTACTCAGTCTACTGATTCAAATATTAATCTCATCCAGAAACACCCTCACAGACACACCCAGAATCATGTTTGACCAAATATCTGAGCATCCCATGGTCAAGTCAAAATCCAAAATTAACCATCACAGTCTACCCCTTGTCAACTTGGCACACATATACATCTCTTTAAACCATACCTAATTTCCAAATAAAGACAGTAATGATGTCATAATTCTGCCTAACATGATACAACTATCCTGGGTACAATGGAAAACACACTATCACCTTCCCCAGAAGAGGAGGTAAAGTCCATGAGTGATGTTTATTCTTCTCCTTGCTGTCCTGTAACTTAAATACTATAATATAAAATTAATGATACTTAAATCCTATTATACAAAGCCAATACAATCAATAACAGTAAAGTCAGTATCAAACAATCTTGTGTTACATGATAAGGGAATAAGAAAGGGAAAAAGCAAAGATAATTGCTACACACACTCACACATTCCCACACACAAGTGTTCACAAAACAAGGAGGAAGTACTCATGACAATTACAGTCTTCATTTCTGTAATTACTCAGGTAGTTGTAGCTGGTATTTATAACTACCCTGCTTAATTACCCATTCTTTGCCTTTAGCAAGCACCTCAGCTGGTTGTGGTTCTTTACCCGATGGGGTGACCTAAGCTTTCATTTCTGAAAGGCCTGGGCCATTAGTAGTCCTGCCTGGATTAGTTTGTTGTAGTTTTCCATGTACCCTAATCACAGGGCATGGTAATACTTAAAAATGCCCTAAGGGCTCTCCTGTATCCAGATATACACTTTCTCACCTCCCTTGTGCAATAGCTATCCGATTTCTCCTTGGTAGTCAGCATCCGTCACCCCCAGTAACTCCCTTCTTTGCTCGTTGATTCAGAGTCATGAGGAGCCCAAAGCGGGCTGGTGGCAGTTTTAACTTCCAGTTTAATGGAATTGTTGTGTCTCCTAGTGGAACTTTCCTCCTTTGAAACTAAGACTTCTAGGCCAGCAGACCACAGGGTCGTGGGAACAATAAGTGAGAGTTTTGCTAGTGGATCACTAGGAGTAATGGTGAGTGGCGCCACTCCTATCTCCAACCTTGATTCCCTGACCCATGTATCCTAGCTATGGGAGAAATGGCATCAGCAACTGCCACTGATTCAGAGCATATACCGCCTTCTGGAGAATGTTGCCCCAGCCTGTAAAGTGTGGCCACCTAGCTGGCACTGTAACTGTGTCTTCAAAAGGCCATTACCCCATTGTATCAAGCCAGCAGCTTCAGGATGGTGGAGAACGTGTGTCATGGAATGAATGAGCTGAGAAACAAAGGACCAGAAGAATCCTTCTCATTTAATGTTTGATGTTTTATCATTGCATTTCTTAACTGGCACATTTAGAAGTGTATTTAATGCTCAGAATTCATCCCTGCACTCAGGGTACACAGTGTTAAGAGTCAAAAGTCTGTTTGGTTGTGTATGTGGTTTAGCAAGTGACACTAGAACAGTAAGCATGGACATAGGTGGCCTCCTAGGCAGGGGTCTTCATCCTACAGCTATACCCCAGGCACCCAGGTCAATGACCAGCGCAGAGAAGGTAGATAATGAAAGTTACTGAACTGAGTAAACGTTTCATGTTGCATATTTTTAATTAAAAATGGAATGTATCACATCCTTTTTTTAAACCAGCCATTGCTCAACTCTGGTTTCATAGTGATCCATAAAGAAAACAACACTTCAATCTCACTCACACACAGATGGCCACTGCTAACATCCAGGGAGCACAGTTCAGATGGAAAAATGCAGGACTAGAAGTTAGGTGTTTTGCTTCCAATCCCAGCCCTGTCTCTTCCATTCCATGTGACCGTGGACCAAGCTGCCATCCTTCCTAGACCCCAATGTCCCCAGCCATGGAATAACAGAGTTGGCTGGTCATTTTCAGGGTTAAGCTAACCTGACTTATAATCTGGTCTTATACCCAGGTGTGATTAAGTGGCTTCATTCCAGATAACTCAGAATCCTTGCCTAGGGCTCCTGGGTCCCAGGCCCCATAGAATTACACATCCCTCCAGCAGTGTGTCCTCCTCTTCCTGATATTCACAACCTTCCCCTGCCTGCCACAAGAACATGGTTTCCTGATGAGGCTGCTCAAGTTGATCAGAAGTCAGCATTGGTGGAAAGAGCCTTGCGTTTCTTTCTTCCCCCGCATCATCTCTCCCCATTAGCCTGTGTTTCAGTAAAAACAAGCCATGTAGGCAAGAAAAAATCAAGCTGTAAAATTATTCTGTTCTAATTCTATCCTAGATCACTGTCACACAGAATTCCAAGAACAAACAACTTTATAAAGGGAGAACAAAAGAGGCATGTAGCCAATTCCAGTTAACTCAATAAATGTGACTTGGTTACCTGCCGAGCACCAAGCACCGTGCTGGGCACCAACAGGGGAGCCTGGCTGGGACTCTGCCTTTCAGGAGCACAGGCTGGTGGGGACACAGGCATAATACACTGCGCTTGACACGGAGCAGACAGGGAGCTCTGCTAGGAGATGAACTCTTACTGGTGCGAGGCATCACAGAGCAGGTAACACTGGAACTGGGCCCTGAATTTTTCTAATTCCATGCAGAGTGAGGGCCTTGAGAAAGGCCACAAGGAGAGTGTTGTGTAGGGAAGGTAACTGGGGATGGGAATCTTAGTGTGGTTTCTGTGGAGAGTCAGATGAGACTAGAAAGGGGGGTTGGGATAGATAATGTGGGGGAAGAGGGGGCGGCAAGGCCTACTGAAGGGTTTAGACTTTGCTCAGTAGGTTCAGGGAGCCCTTGAGGGTCAGAGACTCAAAGAGTTCATTGGTTTTGGGAGGTGACACTGAGGACACATGGCCTGGAGGGGTGTCAGGGAGATGGGTGAGAGGTGGGAGGTGCTCCCGCGGGGGAATCTTTGCCACTCCCGGGGAGAAGTGCACCTGAGGGCCCCGCGGGCCTGTTGGGCTGTTTGAGTTGCCCTGAGCTGCTACATGGGGATGAGGTCAGGTCAGGCTGTGGCTGCAAATAAGTCAGGTGATGACAAGGGTCCGAGCCAAGCGTCAGACCTGGGAGTGGAGGGGGACAGAGGGAGGAGGTCTCTCAGAACCCAGAGTGCATCCGCCAGGAACTGCATTCCGTTTCACCCCCATACTGGCAAAGAGCTCCCTCAGGTCTGCCACCCCACATATCAGAGCCTCCAGCCTCAGCAGCAAATACCCAGGGCCCCTGCAGCTCTCACACAGCCAGCTCTCCCGCCCAGCTGATGAGCAGGGAAGGGACACTCCACTTGTGCTGCTGGAGGGACAGGGCACCTGGGGCTCAGCTTGCTGAGGGTCACAGGACGCGGGCAGGCACGGAGACTCGGATTTCAAACAGGCTCCAGAGTGTGTGCACCTCCCGCTCTGGCAGGAGAAAGGTAACTGAGCACAGGGGTGTGGGAGCAGGCATGGGCCATCTGAGACCTGCAATTCTCACACCACTGTGGTTTCCCAGTTGGCATTTTCAAAGACCCCTTTCTCTTTCAGTTCAAAGAAAAGAGAAGAGAAACCAGAGAGAGGATAGGAGATAACGGAGGCCAGTGGGTTTCTGTCCCAGTCACACAATCGGCCCCTTCATTAAGATCAGCTCTGTTACCTGATTTGCAAGACAGTATGTGAGCTTCGAAAAGGCCTAGAGGGCCTCCCTTCTTTTGGAGAGCACAAACATTCCAGTTCTAGTTTCACCCTCCCTTGGCCCATGCTCTGAAATCACAGCACAGGGAGAGGCCAAAGATATGCAGACAATGAGAGACTCCTAGCCGGCCAGCAGGTGTCTGCCCCCTCACCGTTTCAGAGCAGGAGCAGAGCCCAGAGAGGGGAAAGAACTTGCTCTCGGTCATACATCCAAGCAGAACCAGATCAGAACCCTGGTCCCTTGGCACCAAGGCCACTGCCCTCTCTGTTATAGTCCATATTCCTCCTGTTTTTATTTTTGTTTAATGAGTGCTTAGATGGCACTCAACTATTTGCAGGTGCTGTTCTAAGGACTTTGAAAATATTAACTCATTTGACCATCATCATGATCCTAGGAGGCAGGCCCTGTTATCATCCCCATTTTACAGATGAGGAAACTGAGAGGTGAAGTCACTTGTGCAAAGTCCCACAGCTAGGCGATGGCAGAGCCACTATGTGCGGGTCTGGAGTCCACAACTTAGCCATGCCACTGCAAGTCCTCATGGGAGTGTTCAGGGAGAGAGTTCGGCTGCAGATGTGCTCTAGGTTTGTGGTTGGGGGCTGCTGTATGAAAATCATTCCTCTTTTTTCTGGGAAAGAGCCTGAGGTGCAGAAGTCCAGATTCCAGTCCTGGCTCTGCTCCGGACGTGATTTTCCTTCTTTGGATCTCAATTCTCCTGTCTGTAAAACGGATGCAGTCGGCCTAGATGGCCTT